AAATCAAATCCATAGAAGAGTAACAGTCTACTTGAGATTCCACGTAAGTCTTGCTGGTGCGAACCAACTAACACGAAATTTAGATTTAGAAAATTACTTCTGACTTCTTTTAACCTCCCAAAGTCAGAATCATATTGAGTAACCAAATTATCAACTGATTAACACTAAACTCCGACTTAATAAACATGTAGTTTAAGATTTATCACACGATTATTTTGTATGCTAATCAAATGATAATATGAGTTGAACTGAAGAACAAGAAAACTCTCTTTCCCCTGGGTTCGAGTCGCACATGTAGGATCTTGGACACGCACTGTTGAGGAGTCCCATACTAGGATGAAACGACTGCGGTTTCAGGTTCTAAATGCTGGTCTATCTTAAATTGACTAATGAATCCAACTATTAAAATTACTACAATCTCCACAAATCTTTATACTGTTAATAAAAATAATTAGCAAAACTTACAGGTTTTTATAGATATCATTCTCGATTCACACAATAAATAGCTCATATATACTAAGATAATACATCAACTTATGGAACTAGAAAAGAAGGACAGGACAGAGTGGATTGGAGAATGTTGGTCGGCGGCCTATGCTCCATTAGGAGTAACAGGCGTAAGTAAATAAGTAAGTAATACATCAACTTCGTAATATAGTTAAAGCCAAAAATTCAGTTTATATTAAAGTTCAGACCGGTGAATACCAAATAGACATTGGAAAACTAATATCATTCATAATTATTGGAGAAAATGGCGTCTAATCTCTTAAACTGTGTAATCTAAAAAATAAACCATGGTAATAAAAAACTAATAACTGTTATGGTAAAAACAACAAAAAAAGACAAACAACCTTTATTACGTCAAGCAGTAAACTGTTCAAATACACAACTAAGATACCTCTCTTTTTTTTAAATCCCAGTTACTACCTTAAGTTGTTAACCATTTCACAGATATTATACACTGAAGTAATAATTGAGTATTGAATAAGTTGAATGCGTCAGTTTCATTTATTCAACAAAATGTTTTTTTTAAAAACACTTCAAAGTGAAGAACTTTGATACTTGTAACCAGTTCATAAAATACCTGTCCATATAAGGAAATGAGGTTTGGAAAAAAATGATTATCATTAATTTCTAATAGATCGATTCATTTCATCGATAATATCCTTACTGGAACATTACTAGTCGAGTCAGAGCTTATGCCGAACTGTCATCTGCTTTTGCAACCTCAAGTGGTGTCCGTCAAGGCTGTCCACTTTCTCCATTTCTGTTTAACTTCATCATAGACCTACTGGTGGAAATAACATTCTCGTCTACTGAATTCTCGGGTATTGATCTCCTTCCAGGAGGTCCACTTATCGACTTAGAATACGCAGATGATATAGTCCTGTTTGGTGAAGACGCTGATAAAATGCAGAGTCTTTTGGTATCACTGAGCAACAATGCCCGAATGTTTGGAACGCACTTCTCTACCTCTGAATGCAGGTTGTTGCTTCAAGACTGGTCTGCGTCAATACCTGAACTAAGGATAGTGAGTGAAGTAGTTGAACGCGTTGACAACTTCACTTATCTTGGAAGTCTGATCAGCCCAATGGGTTGGTGTCTGACGAAATCTCAGCACGGATTCGAAAAGCTCGTCTGGCTTTTGCCAACTTACGTCACCTTTGGCGAAGGCGAGATATCCGTCTATCAATAAAAGGACGAGTATACTGCGCGGCAGTCCTTTCTGTTTTTATTTACGACTGCGAAACGTGTCCATTAAGAGTAGAAGATACTCGTAAGCTACTAGTATTTGACCACAGATACTTTAGAAATATTGCTGGCGTCTGCTGGGATCACCGGGTAAGTAATAGTCAGATTGGACACAGGGTATTAGGTAATGATGGTAAATAAGTTGATCAGGTTGTGAATCTTCATCGACTGAGATGGTTGGGCCACGTGTTGCGTATACCTGAACACCGATTACCACGACGGGCAATGCTGACTAGTGTTGGGGATGGTTGTAAGAAAGTTAGAGGCGGCCAAACCAAAACGTGGCATAAGTGCTTGAAGACATTAACTTCTAGTCTGAGCCATGTTGATAGATGCAGACTACTTGGTTGGGGTCCACCTGACTATCGTAACCAATGGTTGGACACTGGGCGATATATATATATATATATATATATATATATATATATATATATATATATATATATATATAGTGACGTCTACGGGGATTACGAGGAGCCTTCCAAAACACTATACTAAACATGTATTACTGATGAAAATCTTGATTATCATTATTATTTGTCCCATCTTGTCGATAAATTCTTCTTCTTTCTTTCTACCATCCCATATCGTCACGACATCAATCACTGAATCGGGATATTGTTGAATTTTGTATTATAGCAATACAAAATGGTCCTAATTAAACAACTATTGGAAATTATAAAAGACTGGACATCTATTTCATCTTCTTATGGGATTTCATAGTGGTATACATCCTAGTGATCTTCATTTTATGATCTTGTTTAAGTCATTTAACCTTGTTACATGATTGATACAAATTATTCTGTACTCTTATACTTGATTACGCATCTTTGTAGCATAACTGGATGTTTTAATAATAATTATGAATTGTACTTTATTTTGATAAGTTAGCTTTTTGTCACAGACTGGCATTAGCTAAAAAAATCGTTGAAGACTAGAAAGTACTTGACATTTATTTCGTCACATTATATTTACTACTGATAAGTGTTCACACATAATTCACACAAAACAGAATTTAGGATGTTTAGTTTTTATCGTGATTGTTAAATTTTTAGATCATTGATACAGAATCCAGTAGTCTATATTTCACTCATTCCAAGCTGTATGACAACCATCCAATGTCATCAACGCAGAACAAACACACTCTAGACAATATATCTAGCACACAGTGAGACTTTAATTTTTTTTATTCAGTCAACCACAGTGTTGGTGAATTTCAAAATTGTGTTCAGATGACCTTAGTTAACTGTTTGGTCTAATTATTCTCTGGGGGATCTCAACAAATGAGGAATATATATGGAGATAGACAGACAGTATACTTAGGCATAATTTGTTTATTTAACTTTATTCTCTTTCCTTTCTATTAACCAGGATAACAGTGAACGTATGCTAAAAGATTTTTACTTCTTTCCAATCTCGGTTTCTCAGTCACTAACATTTATTTTATACGAACTATTTTACTAGAACATATTAACCCTAAAAATATTAAGCTAATGCATTAGTATCATGCAAAAAATCTTATAAATAAAGTTTGGTAATTTAGATGGATCTTTGATACCGATGAATGTAGTTTCATTTTGATTCAGATATAATTTTGTGATATTGTTACTCGGTGAACGATTGAAATGTAGTACACGATATGTAATCCTTTTTAATTTATTACATACATTAACATGAAAAGGCAGATGGTTAAACAACTGTACAATGTGGTGTATGGTCATAATATTACCTTATTGAAAATGAGTAAGTTTATTAGTTTTATATCATGTATTCTCGAAAAGGAAGCTGGCGCCTTCTGACATAATTCAGTAAACAATCAATGAATTGATCATAAGTTAATTCTCCATTTACCAACGTTCTTACAACCTACAGATTATAATTAAGATTTTATTACAGGATAACCAGATGTTAGCTATGTTTAAGACTTTCCCGAATCATCACTTGTAAAGAACAATTCGAAGATAAGTACAAACATCTGCTTACCTATAACTTCTACCTGAACAACTCATGTTTCACACCAGGAAATTAATACAGAGTGAACGTCTCTTGCCTCATGACATATCATGTCTTTACTACAGGTAGCGTAGGTTGGAAATAAGCAAATTAACTTTTGTATACGTACTGAAATTTAATCATTCACTAACTCCTCATGAGTGAAGAAACTTCTGAGTTAAGTGAAGTAATTGATACTATGTACTGGTTCATTTCGCTTTTATTTTAAAGAAAATAAACGGATCAATCTTGAAGAGATACTTTGCAAGTTTTTAACCTAACTAATAGTATTCATTCAAACAATTCTTGATAGATTGTTGAATATCTTAGGGCTTAGTGACTACTAATAAAAAGGGCCGAGGTCATGTAAATAATGACTCAATCATAATATGTACGGATATATTCTACGAGTTACCAAAAATAAAAGTATGGTGAATTGCAAGACAAAAGCCATTTATATGCTTTTTGATGGAGTTTTGTTCTCTGAGCTGGATGGTTTGGTCGTGGAGCTTTCATCGTCCTTCTCAAAGACATCATCAGCACAAACTTCAGAACATAAAAATCATCCACCTGAGCCACGAATCTTCTCCACTATCTCAAAATCATATGAGCGTAATACGCTTCTCGTTGTTCGAAAATGGGAGAATTTCGCCAAAAGTCAGGCTTCCACTCGAGAACAACTATATTTTCTCCATGAGTATCTTCGCCAGTATGTTCTACCAACAAATGTAAGATATAAAAAGAAAAAGTTTGTGCCGATGATGTCGTTCAGAAGAACGATGAAAGCTCTACAACCAAACCATCCAGCTCAGAGAACAAAACTCCATCAAAATCATCCACCTGAGCTACAAATCTCCACCATCTCCATTTATGTGCTTTTACTTCAGATATACAGTTAATATTTATTACAGCATCAACTAAAAATGCTAAGTACATACATTCTTGTAGTGAGTTAATATTTTTTTACCATATGAATAATGAAGGCGTTAACTTATCACAATAATTAAACGAGACAATTTATTGATTGACCTTCAAACGATCCAATCAACTGATAGAATAGTAGACGAATAAACCAATCACGAACGAACTTTATTCTTATTGGTTAACACAATCTTAACGACTTCAATGTTTAGTCCTCGTGATTTCATCAATGTAATTTGCACATGATTTCTTTAATTTAGGAGAATGCTAATGTACAGAACATTTGAATTACTTATGTGCAATATTATTTATTTTAATCGAACTCAAAATTCACTATGGGAGTTCATTATTCTTTAAATAAAGAAAATGGTTGTATTCATAATAAGATTTTAAAAGGGAAAATTCTTTCAAATATTCATATAAACAAACGTAAACGTTCTGGATCACGGAAATATTCACATAAATCGAATTCATATATAATTAAAGTGATAAATATTACTGCTAATAATAAAAATATCTTAAACCATATGAATACAAGTTCAGAAAGTAAATCTATAGATAAATCACAAATTACTTTTATTTCTTCAATGAATTCAAGAGGATGTATTTCACCTACTTTACCTAGACGAAAGTCACCAACACATATACATGCCAAAATCTTTAATAGTTGTGTTCCACTATCTGGTTTACGTCGATCATTATCCCTTCCAAAACAGAACAGTTTATCAAATAAGAACCATTCTCCTGAATCAAGATTAGGAATACCAGGATCGAGATGTTTGTCAAGAAACAATTCAAAGTGTTCAGCAGCCGAGGGGAATGCTTCACCGATTGGTGTTGAACTTTCACTTCCTTCTGGTGGTTGTTCTAAAGACCTGTTGATGAAGTGGAAGAGTGGTAAGCATGGCCAGTGGTCTCGTGATAAACGCGATAAGGAGTTTAACTATGGTCAAGATAATCTTGTATTCGAGAACTGCTTGGATTGTATCGATGATCAAACGACAAATACAACTATTCTTTCCAGTGATTACACGTCTTCTATGGATGACTGTTCCTCTATTTTTTATGATCCTATATTGGCTAAACTTGAAGCAGAATTACCTGTTCCACCGCCTCCTCCACGTGCTTGCCCACCTTGGCTTAAAGCTGCTCTTGCAAAACAAGAAGCTTTAGGCAAAGAACCAATACAAAATTTGATTTTAAGGATAGATGCTGCGTATCATCCTCGTTACAATTACCCACATCTCAGTTATCCCCTCTTCCATCTGACTTGGATCAACATAAAGCTTTAAGCCTTGGAAATAGCCGTTTTAATGTTCGTATTTATCCAATTATACAAAATGGAGTAAAAATAAGTGATACACACTACTGGCTTCTCGATCCCCCTCGGTCCAAAACATTACGCGATAATTCTACACTTATGCGTAGAACAACTGATTGTTTTCGTGTTCCTCCATCTTCACCACTGGATATTTATTCTACAATTGATGGTTACACAAACATTGAATCCACCAGTTTATGTCCTCCAAACGAGTTACCACTGAAAGATGTTAAACTGAGACGTGGTAAATCTGAAAATTGTAAAGATTCTTTAAAAAGTTTCCATAGAGAATTAGTTTTACGTTTGATGAAAGAAGTTCCACAAGCTACTGAGTCTGAATGCCAAGCTGTACTAATAGGCAGCAGTTATGATTATGAAGAAGCTACTAGGAGGTTAAAATTTGAATTACTATGCCGTAAAGGTTATGTATCTCGATCACATAGTAAACGTTTGTTACATAAATATAATTGGGATTTAGATGCAGCTATTTCACGAGCTCATTATGAATATGAATTTCGAAAATTAAAACGTCAAGAAAAAGAACAAATACTATTTGATGATATAGATCAATTATCATATTTTAATCAAACTAAAGGTTGTAATAAATATTTAACACATTCATCAACTTCATCAGATTCTTCTTTATCAAATTTACCATGTTCTGTTAATCATCAATCAGTTATTTCACCATGGTATGATGAAGGTCGAAGAAGTAATCTATTTTAATTGAATATTTTCAACTCTGTGAGATACAATCGTATAGATTATTTTAACTTGACAATTATTCTGTATTAAAAGAGTTTATATTTGAGAATATACATACGGATACATACATATATATATATATATACATCAATCATAATCATTTCAGATTAAAAAAAGAATTATAAATAATGATTTTTCTGTTACCAAAGGTAAATCAGAATTTTTATTTATTTATTTACAGTTTTCATTTATTTATTCTGTATCGATCGATAAATTTGTTTCCCCCTCTCTCTCTCTCTCGTGTTACCGGTGTGTTCATATGTATGGATTGTTTATAACAGAAGTGTCTTAAATTATTCGATTGTTTGTTGTGTTTGTTTATTTGGAGACAAGGTGATTTGATTGAGGTTCTTATTAAATTTACTTACCTTTGCATATATATTTAAGCATTTACAAAATGATCAATACGAAAAGGAAAAAAAATAATGTACTTTTCAAAGATAATTTATCTGTATTAGTGACTCGGTTTATGAAAAAGAACAAGTGTGCTGTAAGGTGAATTTTCTTTATTGTATACGTTATTCAGAATGAGCACACATACATACAAATACTTACATACATACACATATATATCCTCTAATTGTACATAAACCCAAACACAATACTTATTTATATTGGTAAATTAATAAGAAATAATAATAATACTAATAATCTATTAATAAGAAGTCTAGTCAGTTAGTATATTTCTTCTCTTCACAAAGTGAATTCGTTTTATGTTTTCTTCTTCTTCTTCTTCTTCTTCTTCTTCACTTTCTATTCTCTTAAGTTATTTACTTCTCATAATTTAATCTATCATACAATCAGTACTTTGTAAGATTACATTGAATTATTATACTTTGTACAATTAACTTTTCTGTATGCTGGCATGCAATAATTGATCATAATGATAATAATAATAATATTATTATTACTTTATATTGCTTATTATTCTTTTACTGTTACTACAACTTTTGATTGTCCAAGTTACATCATCATTATCATCGTTATAAACATCATCATCATCATCATCATCATCATTGTTATCATCATTTAAATGAGTTTTCTCCTGATCTCTCTCTTTTTTTTCCTTTTTTTTCTAAACATTGATATTACTTATTTTCATTGAATGTCATGATACATAATTAGTGGATTATATTGTAAAAGTTTTTGTATATGCGTTTGTACATGTACATGGATATATATATATATACATATATAGATATATATTTGTGTGTATGTATGTGGCCTTAATCCATGTTGTTATATGTAAGATAAACATTAAGTTATCTACTCGTTCATTTATGAAAGAATCAGAAAATCACAAAAACAAACCTTGTATATTATTGATTTTTTGTTGTTGTTTTTTTCTTGTTTTCGTTAGTGAAACGTAGAAGCGGAGAAAAAATGTTGTTTACTTGCCTTGGCAAATATTCTCATTTTTGTTTGTATCGTAGAAGAATAGGAACGAAAGGAATTAATTATCAGAAGAGGGTTTTGTGGAGATTTTAGTGATTTAATAGTTGAATTCATGAGTCCATTAAAGCTAGACTACCATGGAAAACCTTGAGGCACTAGACGGCTGTTTCATCCTAGTATGGATTGATTGAAGTCAGATATTAACACCGTTGGATGCCGATTCCGTGGTCAAAAGGTTAAGCGTTTGCACACGAAACCGATAGGTCCTGGGTTTGAATCTTGCGGGGCGAGATCGTGGATGCGCACTGCTGAGGTATCTCACAATAGGGCGAAGTGGCCATCCAATGCTTCTAGCATTGATCCATTCATGATTTCAATCAAAATAAAGTCGATCAAAAAGCAACAATTACTGAAAATCTGAAAACTTCTTGATTAATATTTATTTCATTTACTCGAGTTCCATAGAAAATGAACTACAAATCCATCGAAACATGATAGAGTTATTATAATTTTAAGCAACAAAGAAGTTTATCATAATTATTTTCACTTTATTCCAAAACCACTTCTGAAAAATAATCTAAGATCAACAAATTTAATGAGAGATAGTGGATAAGTTTTTAAATTATCTCCTAATAACATTTTATTTATTTATTTTAACACAGATATTGGTACAAGGAGGCACCAAATACATATGCGCCACACAGATCTCATTTGATATGTATGAGGGCTGTGATACTACCCGGGTGCCCAAACTGAAGCAAGTGGTTTTCTTGGGGAGCCACACCCGGAGCCTTCGACCTGAAGGTCTGATCCACAAGGCAGTGGAGCAACGTAAGGAAATGCAGTCCCATGGTAGCCGGTGACCAACAATAGGTTCATACGCCATTTGTTCCTTCAGGATACTGGAGCTCATGTGCACCATTGGGTTTGGAATCAGGGTTTTCTAACCCCTCGGCGGACTCCCCGTGTCCACCAACCCGGTTATAGCGCCGGACGTTCGCTTTTCATCCTCTCAATTTCGTAAACAACACCCCCGCCACGAGAAGGCAGTGAGTAGGACTTTCCTAGCAGAGGCTATATACGCGTGGCCATGTGAGAGCATTTGGAGAGGGAGATCGGACTCTCCCCACTTTCGGCCGTACCGAGCATTTGGGGGCAAACTGTATAGTGGATCAGAATAAAGAGTGAAAAACTTGTAGAAATTGTTGATTTGCTGGTACGGTTTATATATTTTTATTTTCATGTATACATGTACTTGTGTGGCTACAGCTGTGAACAATTTAGATGTATGAAAATTACTAATATGATTCAGTGGATAGGAGAAACTTATGAAAAATTTTTGACATTATGGAGTACCTGAGAAGGTCGTCAACATCAAACGGAATTCATACAACAGACTACAATGCAAAGTCGTGCATATAGGATAACTGACAGACGCATTCCGAGTGAGGATCGGAGAAAGACGAGGCTGTCTACTCTCCCCCTCTTTCTTCTGATGGTTGACTGGATTACGAAGACCTACACATCTGACGGGAAGCACGGAGTACAATGGACAGCTTGGGAATTAACTAGATGATTTGGACTTTGCAGATGACCTAACCCTTCTATCCTATGCACACGAACAAATGCAGATGCACATAACTAGTGTAGTAACAGCCTCTGCATTACTAGGCCTCAACATACACGAAGGGAAAGCAAAATCCTTAAATACAACACGAAGAACATCAACCCACTGACACGATGTAGAAGCTCTGGAAGAGGTGGAAACTTTCACATGCCTAGGAAGCATCATCGATGAACAACGAGGATCGGATGCAGACGTAAAGGCAAGGATTAACAAAGCAAGGACAGCATTCCTACAACTGAAGAACATATAGAACTCAAAACAACTCTCAATCAATATCACTGTCAGAATCTTCAATACAAACGTCAAGACAGTCCTACTGTACGGAGCTGAAACTTGGAGAACTACTACAACTATTATCAAAAAGTTACATGTATTTATGATCAATTGTGTACGAAAGATACTCAATATCCGTTAGTGGGATACCATCGACAACAAGGTACTGTGAGAGAGAACAAACCAGCATTTAGATGAAGAGGAAATTTAGAAAAGACGATGGAGGTGGATAGGTGATACATTACGGAAATCACCAAACTGCACCACGAGATAGTCACTAATTTGTAATGGTAAAGGGAAGCGGAGAAGAGGAAGACCAAAGAACACACTGGTTATACTAGTATCGTTTAGTAGTACCTATCAGTAGAATTCCAAGCATTCCTTTGTATTATTTGACGCTAATTAGTTTGATACATTTGAGATACCCCGTTGATATCTTATATCCTGAAAACTGGACTCTGCAAACTGTACTTCAAACATCAAATTTAGTCAATTATTAGTGACGTACAGCCTTGAAAAGAGGTGTAATGGCCCAAGTCCCCATACGATTTCGGATGACCAAAAAAATTAACAGGAAACATTCCAAAAGCTATCAAAGTAATATGATAATAATGATATTGAGAAAGACTGAACATCGGGAATATAGTTTTAAAAAAACAGAATGGGAAAGCATACATCTAGGAATACTGGGACTTAACATCTAGTAAAGGATAAAGAATGAAAACATTTGTACCACTATGAGTGATTCTGACCAACACCACCCAAAGTTCCGGTCATTGATTGCTGTTATCACGTAAAACTAAACCAGCATGGCTCAGAACAGTAGTTAGTGACTTCATGAACTGATACCACGTTTTAATTTGGGTACTATTAGCTTCGCACCAACTCTTACACCGGAAAATATTACATTTTGAGGTGGGTAGTGGTTAGATATGTGTAACACATATCTGATCACCTCAGTTGATGAAAATTTAAAACCTCACCAACAGATTTCCCACCTTTACCTAATATATTATGTCTAACGTCGATATTGGCCACTCGGTTTTTCCACGAAAGGCGAGTTGTGCTGTAAAGATACTTATGATCAAGATCATGTAGCCTACTTATGTCTTTTGATTTCAGATTACATACTTAACGGCTGTAAAGTAAAACAAAGCTTTCTGAATCCATTTCGATGCTTTATCAAAAGCCAACATTAAATTGCTATTATTCAATAAGTTCAATAGTAACAGGGAATTATAACTAGATGCGAGGTGTCTTGTGTCAATTGTTGGATTTGGTGGTTTAAATTACAAAGTTGTCTTGTTTAAGAGAACACTGAATACGAGGAATTATTTCTTGAACATAACCTAAGTCATGTAATTGGATATATACGTCAATTTTTTAAACATATGTAATACAGTGGCAAAGCGAAAAATAAGTAGAGACTCAGCTAAACATGACACTTAAAAAACTGAATAATCACAGAATACGACTTTAAGAAGTGGTATTTTCAAAGGAGAACTCTTCTTTGTCATTAGCCATCAAAGATAGACTTTTTCATGTTTGTTATGAACCTTTCAGTGGAGTATACATTCAGTAATCCTATAGCTAAATCTATTGAGTATGAGCTCAACAGTTATTGATTTTTAATCTCGGTTGTAATACAGACTAACTGTCATTCAAG